AAACGCATAAAAAGCATTCACTGCCTGGTTGTTTCTTTGTCGTTCATCCTTGAATTAGCAGCATCGGCATCGTTAGGAATTTTTAAACGATAAGCTCCAACTTGCTCGATTGTTTGTATCACTAAATGGCACATATCGAAGAGATTATCGATGGATTTCTGCAGATATTTCTTGTCTGAGCTCTCAATTTGCCTGAAATATTAACTGATAACTTCACATAAGTTCAGTTATCAGTGAAATGCTTGAGTATAATTAACATTTTGCTGATAACTGGGCTAATTAATATTTCAATTTTTTTTGATAATTAATACTTCATTTCACTGAAAATTAAATTAACCACTCATATCACCGTAATTAGGCACAAAGTTAGAGTTATGAAGTGATCCCAGAAATATTATGGTGGTAAGCGTAGGAATTACAAGCGATATATTTAATAAGCTCATGACGAAACAATCAGTGTTTCATCCCTTAGCTGTAAATACAGAAAGGCTAGCTTTATATGCAGAAAAGCTAGCTTTATTTGCAGAGAATCATCAGTGCAGCCTCCTACCCGTTACATGTTAAATGCACAGGAGGTCCCCCCCCCCCTTCAAAAATTCGTAGAGTAACTTAAGTTAGATTGTTACGGATGAATATTTGAATTTATTAAAGCATCTTCTATAAGCCATAAATACAAACGCTTTTATGTACACAAAGGATTGAGAATCATCAGTGCAGCCTCCTATCCGCTACCTGTTAAATGTGTACAGAAGGTCCCCCCTCAACAAATTCGCGCAGTAACTCAAGTCAGACTGTCATGGATGAATATTTGAACTTATCAAAGCATCTAATCGCAAAACAAACCAAACAAAATGGTATCCTTGGAAAACAGGAATTGAAAATTTTCCGCTTTAATGGCGAAAATATACGCGTCTAATTCCATGTAAATTCTCATTTAAAAAAAAAAAAATGGCAACCATTATAAAATAGAAAGGTATATTAACAACGGATGAAATAAGGAGAAACAAAAAGAGAAGGAAATGAGAATTAAGAAATTAGTAAAATTATTATAATAAAATCATTAAAATAATTTCACTTTTAACGTTTGCTTTAACCTTTTTACGTTATCTTAATTTTCCTTTTTCTTTTTGACACATTGCATGTTATTTTTGCTGCAATCGTCACACTGATGAGGTCCAGTTTTAGAACTGGACAGGAATGTATGCGACTTGATGGACCGAAACATTCCTATTCAGGTTTTTATTCCGATTTAACTTA